AAGAAAAACATATATTTTTTTTGGTTGATTAATTACAAGGTGTCCTCATTAGTTTGTTGCAAATGCAGGGCATAGTTACGCCGACAATGAAAGGCTATATATATATTAGCCTATAAAATAAAACAATCGTGAATAGAACCTATTTCAATTAATTAGAGACACTAATTTGTGTTTTTTTTAAAAGTAAATTGCCTTCATTTCACTTAAAACTACTTAAATTAAATTACACATTTTTCATAGTAAAAGAATATAAATTAGATGTATGTAACTAAATGCATTGCTCAGAACCACAGTATAGGCCAACATTATCATTGCTGGAGCGACCATAATTTCATGGCTGTTAAAAACTAGAAGGTCGATTAGAAATATTTCACATCATCCCAGGTGCATAAGCCATTTGGAAATACTACCTCTGGTCCTTAATATAAAATCTCGTTTAATTTTTATTTTGGTTTTAAGTATAAGATTCTAATCTATTTTGTCTCACATATTTATGCATTTTTTTTCTCAAGGTAGTTCTTCTAATAATAATAGTTCTAGTGAATACATATTTATTAGCAAGAATATTTTAGAAAAAACAACACTTATTTATTACAAATAACTAATTTAACTTATTTTCTTAATCTACTCAAATTAATCAATTAGTCCTTATATTTAGGATTGGAGGTAGTAATATTTTTGAGTAAGTAGTGAAATGTTTTCAGCTAGCTAGGCTTCTAGTTTCCAATAGTCAAGAAATTACTGTAAGTGAAGTTAGAAATAAGTTTGTTTCTTTGGCCCAAATTTCCTATTATTGACAAAAGGACAAACATAATAGGAAGTGAGACCAGAGAAAGAAAATTTTTTATAAGGTACTTCTCTAATCTAAATGTAAGTAAGGCCGCTATATAGTATATATAAAATGGATTTTTCGTACATTTAAGACTGGATGAATAATATGCAAATGATGGATGGAGGGATGCATGGCATACTAAAACTGTGGGACCATTAATTAAGTTGAAAGTGATGATATATATATACTAATTGATATTTTTCCAGTCTTAAATATAAGACCCATTTTATAATATAATTTGTACCACATAATAGGTTTTATATTTAGGACCGAAGGAATATAATATGATCATGACAAGGAGGCATGACTTAGGGAAGACGTCCCCTTAATTAGCCCTGAGAAGTGAGAAGAGTATATATTCTGCTGCGTGTTTAACACTCATGATTTTGTCAAAGAATGGTCTCTCGCTTTTAATAAATCATTTTCAACCCCAATTCCTCCTTCATCTCATACGTACCACTTCCATTGTCAACCTCATCCATGTGAACGTTCACATAGCCCAATTGGACCATATATAGAGATGTTTGACTTATCGATTATAAGTTATAACAAAACATATCTTGATCAATTCATGATTATATTGAATAAATAAATCTTTGAAGGTTAAAGAAACTTTTTACCGTTATAACTACTTGTATATATGGAAGACCAAAACAAAGGTGGGAAATCAAATCAAAGGTGAGATCTTAAGGTCACAAGCCATGATCTTCATCCATAATCATGGGACGCACAATCTCATATTTGCGTGATTATTGTGATTCGTCACTATGTATCTATCGTCCAATTATATTTTATTATTTCTTTTATACTACCTCCGGTCTTTAATATAAGACTCTGTTTGACTTTTATTTTAATCCTAAATATAAGACCCTAATCTCCTTTGTCTCTTATATTTATGTATTTTTTCAATGTAGTTCTTCTAATAATTATAGTTCTAGCTAATATAGTTTATTAGTAAGGATATTTTAGGAAAGACAACATCTATTTATTATAAAAAACTAACTTAACTTTTTTCCTTAATCTCCTCAAATTAGTCAACTGGGTGAACCGGAGGTAGTATAATCATTGCAACTGGACCGGAGCGGCAATATATATAAATTATAAAATGCAATATGTGGCTAACATATACATAGAAACTAATATGGTATGTATAAGTTAAACCAAAAATGGTCTACATATACGTATACAAAAATAGTCACGCTCATATATATGATATATTATAGTAATAGAAAGGTGAGTGAAGAATAATGCATGTGAGTGTGCATTAGTTATAATATGCATCCAAGTGCGTGCCTGTGATGATGTGGTAGTTGAAATTAATAATATTTGCATCGCCATTTTTGGGTCAAACCTAATCTTAACTCTTCTTTCATTGTTGCTGCCCCCTTCGGCCTTCGCTATTCTTCACATTATCAAATCTTTAAGACGTGAAAGCCTGCATTATATTTTTTTTGGCCTGCATTATATTGCTTCCTCTTGTTACATATATTAATAAATTATTCCAAAGTATCATTCTAGATTTGTTATTTTCCTCAGACTCAGCGAAGGGTCACTTGGTTAATCATATGCATTTGTAAAACATATGTTCATGTATATGATGTCTAACAAATTTGATAATCGAGGGAATAAGAGAAATGAATGAAGATGATAATATGATTAGCGCGTTTTAAAGTTTTAAAGCAGAGATGGAGACAAAACCAATGAATGACCAATTAAGGCATAAAACAGAAGGCAGCTAGCGGAGAAAAGAACGAAAAGTATAATCAGAGGGACCTTTATTATTGACGTAACAGAAGCAGCAAATCATCAAAGAGCCAAAATTGAAGAACTTGAAGAGGACAGTAAGAAGCATAAATCAAGCAAGTTGGTGTAACACGTTCATCACAAGCATGCATGTTGCTCGTGTAATTAATTTAATATATTAATTAATAATAAGTTGGCCGTTCTTAATTTTGTGACCAACACTAAAGTCATTAACCCCTTTCTTTTATGTGGGCAAAATTTGATACAAGCCCTACACGTACACTTCGCTTTCTTCATCTGATCATTGATGCCCAAAATTCAAAAGCAACAAAAGTGCCTACACTACTGATCGATCTGTTAATTTTAGCTTCACTTGCATCTTCATTCAAACGCAAAAACACAGGGCACCGTTTGTGAATATATATGTGGTGTTCATTAATTATCTGATACATATGGTACTGCAAGCTGGTGAAAAATAACAGCAAATTAGTAATTAAACACTATAGATTATTTATATCGGAGATATATATTATTATGGGTCGACATACGTAAGTGAAACGATGGATGGATAAATTAAACTGCATATAAGCATGGTGAGTCCTAATCAATTAATTAGATTTTGGTTTTGCTAAAAATGTGATGTGACTGCGTAAGAGTGATGATCACTCTTTTAATTTGAAACTGATGCTTTTCGTGCACGTATCAAAAGCCTCTCTTTAAAATTCAAGACATTCTTTTGTTTTGCAAGGCAAAAAGCGCAGCCACATACACCCAGAATTCCCCATCCTATATACTACAAATCGAATTGTATTATTCATACTAACTCATAAGAATATAATTAATTAGTGAAACTGAAAAGTTTCTTGATTATTAAAAAAAAATCAAGAATCACATTGGGAATTAAACTCATGCACAGTAAGCACTTGGCCAACTAGCTGGCTGTCAATTCTGCTTTAGTAAATGAGGAAGGAGGGGTCATGCATGCTGAGAATTCTTTCTCCTTTTTAGCAGCTTCTGTTACAATAAAGGTTCAGATCATTGAAAAAGGATTTAGATCTTTGAGCCTTCTATTATTTACCAATTAATCAATCCTTTCAAATTATTTTTAATTTCTTAGAAAATTTGTTCTCAATATATAGGTCAGAATCAAGATTGCAGAAGGCTTTTACATATCTCGTAAATGAAGTATATGGATATTATTACTGCTGTCATTAAATGTTGGAAGGCTCAAATAAATTAACTGAGCCAGGCAAATTCACCCAACAGCGGCCACGACGACGGGTAAAAACTATAGTGCTAGTATGGTGGATGCGGAATTCAGTTCAATGTTGTATTTCCATATGCATCAATTTTTATGAATTACATCCATCATAATTATCATATATGTAAATAAAGTCTAGGCCATTTGCGCGCGCGGTCGCACAAATATATATATTTGCAACAAATAAATATGGTACGTACGTGCATGTTGAAATCGAGTAAAAAATATTTACTCAATTAATTGAAGACCTAACCCTGCATTTCAAATTTTCTTCTGTCACTTGTGAATACATATATAATATAATAGAAGAGAAATAAAATAAAATATATCTCACATGCTAGAATACTTTTTTTTTTTCCAGTTTTTGAAATATGAATAACTTTAATTTGATCGCTCTTCCTGCACTTAATTTGCTTTCTAGTGGCTATTTACCAACTTTTATATTTCATAGAAAATTTGAATCCAAAATTTTATTATTAATAAATTATACATAACATGTAGTAAAAACCAAATTAAAAGTAATTAAGATAATTGATTAATGGGAATTCAGTATTTAATTACAATAAAATGAACGAAGGCTAGTGAATTATTTTGATATTGACTCTGATCTTTAATTCTTAGAGTTAAATTATGCATTTAGTCATTTAACTTTATATAAAATTTTAATTTGATCTTTTAATTTTAAAAAGTATATTTTAGTCATTCAACCCTCAAATTGTTAACAAAAATGATGATATTGAAATCTTAAATATTGATAAAATATTCTCAAATACTAAAATATTAAGTTTAATTTTTAAAATAACTATAATTGTTGCAAAAACAAATCATTCAAGCCTAAAAGAGATCAAATTAAAATCTTGTACAAAATTAAAAGACCAAATATATACTTTAGCTATTATTAGAATATAATTAAAATCTTGAAAATAAATGATTTGCCAAATGGGTAAAATAAATTTGCAAGGAAGGACAGGCTGTGAGCGAGGAGATAATAAGATTCGTAATTTCGTACGGTCGTATAAATCCACGTGGCATTATGGCAGCAGGCGACCTCCATAAGGCGGGTCTTTCCCTATAAAAGCCCACCCCGCGCCCCTTTCTTCGTCATTCCCTGCCCCGCTCAACTTCATACTCCCCTGTTTCACCACACACAGCACACAAGCAGCAATGCAGATCTCTGTTTCTCTCCAATTCTTGGCCCTCACCTCTCTGCTCATGCCCCTGCTTTTACCTGCCGCCATAGCCTACCCCGTGAAAAGGTATATTCTCCTAACTCCATATCATGTCAAAGCTTCCAAATCTGGCCAATCACTCTGTTTCTTGCCAGACGCCAACTTCAGATCGGATCTGGAAAATTTGAGTCCTTCATAATATCCTCTTATGTTCTCATGACCCTTCAGCTCAGTGTGCACAATGTGATTACCGGCCAGTTTTCTTAGAAAGCTACAGCAACTCATCAATCTATTGCCAGACTCTCTGCTTTTACTTTTTAGCTCCGAAGTCCAAATCACAAAACTTGCATGTTTCTGTAGTCATTGTAGCAACTATGATTTAGTGAGCCATTCCGGGTAATTAACATTATTTTACTTCTGCGCTGCCTTTTTCCAGGTTCAATGACTCTACGAATGAGCATGCAGTAAAAAATCCGGAGGAGATAGCCACTATGGTCGATATGTAATATCTCTCTCTCTCTCTCTCTTTCTCATCATCTTTTCCTTCCCTGTGCGAATGAATATTTAATCTCACGTGGCATGTGAGTGGTTGCATTATTTTAATTTGGTCTCGGGCTTAGAACAGGGAAGTCACATGGCCTTTCTAAGCCAATACATGATCAGCAATCAAAACCCACTAGCATCTAATGATCTATTAGTAACTGAGGCGAATTAATAACTTACCCTCATTCCACTTTCATGTCATTTTCTTCTCTTTCCTGGCCATTCACTTTAATAAAAACCCAGTCAAGATGGTCAGTGCGAGTTTTAAATGAAAGCTGCCATTTTTCCCTCTCCCATTGCTTTGCTAACAAGCTACTACTGCGTATACGTTCTTTTATAGTTCAATAAAATTTCCGTTATTGTCATTTCCCAAGATTCAAGCCACATTATTAGCACAAGCGACAAGGTGTTGTAAACCTCCCCTGACTGTAGTATAACTGATTAAGAAAATCAAGTAAAGAAAGATCTATAGCTGCTGATTGTCATCAGTTGGAGGCATTAATTCAGTGAAAATTCTCATTTATTGGAGATGAATGTAGGAGGAGGAGTAGAAAGGAAAAGAGTGATGGGGTGAAGTATCTAATACTAACTTATTTAGAGATATAATTGTTGCTTTAATTAAAAGCTCACGTTCTCGAGTTCCCTTTCAAGACTCAAAGGAATCAGCCGCACCATGTTCTTTGCAGAAGATGAGATCTCTTGAGAAGTTGCGTTATCGCCTTTGTATTCTATTTGCCAGCTTAACCACATGCTTCTGTCGCCTGATCCGGCCCTCCCGCTTTTAATTAATCTCTTCTCTCTTCCCTTATTTTCATCTATTACTACCTATTGTTTAATACTACTTCCTATATGATACTCTATCTACATCTTCTTCATTATTAAATTAATTATCGACATTTAATACCTTTTGCCTTCATCCATTCTTAATTTTGAAGCCCCTTCCTTCTATTCAGAGGAATCGGATAGGAATCTATGCAGTTCCCACGTCTTTCAACCATAGATGGTGTTACATGCATGAACGATTCCTTTGTCCACTCTGTCTCTCCAGCCTGAAGATACGATTTGTGTTTTCTGGGAAAGATAATTATTATTCAGAGATACTCTAATATGAATTTAAAAAACCCAACTTTTTACATTCATTTTTCATATATTTTCCCCAATAATATATCCTCATATTGTCTCCGCGAAAAATGCTCAAACCAAATTTCCATTCTTTTAATTAGAGGATGGCCACCGACACCCCAAGTAGAGAGGCAGAATCATCAGATCTTGTCCTGTGGAGGAGAACTAAGAAAGATCACCAGTCTCTAAAATCAGGAATATTAGTTCCCCATGCTACGTCTGCAATTATATCGTATGAGCATGAGGCTGTTAATAATGCAAATCATACTTAATATACAGTACATGATACTGTGTCCATTGTCGAGTTTAGTGTGTACATTTTATCTTGACTAATAATACAATGCTTGTCACATTAATGTGACTCGTACGGAATTTGCAGGAGCATACGCAATCATACGGAAAGAAGGAATTTGGGTTTCTTCTCTTGCGGGACGGGGAATCCCATCGATGACTGCTGGCGGTGTGACCGGAACTGGCAACGCCACCGGAAACAGCTGGCCAACTGCGGCATTGGGTTCGGACGCAATGCCATCGGAGGGCGGGACGGAAAGTACTACGTTGTGAGCGACCCGAGCGACGACGACCCCGTCAACCCAAAACCAGGCACCCTCCGCCACGCCGTCATCCAAGACGCTCCCTTATGGATTGTGTTCAAAAGGGACATGGTCATCACTCTAAAGCAAGAGCTCATCATGAACAGCTTTAAGACCATTGATGGCCGCGGTGTCAACGTCCACATCGCTTATGGGGGATGCATCACTATCCAATACGTCACCAACGTCATCATCCACGGCCTGAACATCCATGACTGCAAACCAACTGGCAACGCCATGGTTCGTAGCTCGCCTTCGCATTACGGATGGAGGACCATGGCTGATGGAGATGGAATTTCCATCTTTGGTGCGAGCCACATCTGGATTGATCACAACTCACTCTCTAAATGTGCAGATGGTCTTGTTGATGCTGTCATGGGTTCGACTGCCATCACCATTTCCAACAATTTCTTTACTCACCACGATGAGGTAAATCCTCTCTCTCCTCATTCTTCCATCCTGAGTCACTGAAATAAATGGGAGAAGTAATTAACGTGTGTCGATCATCCGTTGATACAGGTGATGCTTTTGGGTCACAGTGACTCTTATGTGAGAGATAAGCATATGCAAGTGACCATTGCCTACAACCATTTTGGGGAGGGCCTTATTCAGAGAATGCCAAGGTAAATCATATGGACTTGTCAAATGATGTATTGATGGTTTTAAACTGTGAGCTTGAATTAACAATGGAGGTTGGGGGTTGTGAAAACGCAGATGCAGACACGGGTATTTCCACGTGGTCAACAATGACTACACCCACTGGGAAATGTATGCAATTGGTGGCAGTGCAGATCCCACCATTAATAGCCAGGGGAACCGATACCTTGCCCCTCAGAACGCTTTTGCTAAGGAGGTAAATTACTCTATGATATGTGGAAAAAAGGGACTACGTATTTATTTGATAGGCCATTTCAGAAACCTTAAAAGTGGGAAAAATGATGTTGACAGGTGACGAAGAGAGTTGACACGGATCAAGGAGTATGGAAAAGTTGGAATTGGAGGTCAGAGGGAGACCTTTTGCTGAATGGTGCCTTCTTCACTTCGTCAGGTGCTGGTTCTGGAGCCAGCTATGCCAGAGCTTCAAGTTTATCAGCCAAATCATCTTCTTTGGTTGGTACCATCACCTCTGGTGCCGGTGTTCTTAGCTGCCGGAGGGGTTCTGCGTGTTAATACCAAAACAAAGATAGAATAACGAAAGAAAAAGGACAGAGGAAAGGAAGAAAGTAAAGTTCTCAATCTTTTTCCTCGTTTATTGCATTTTCTAGGTGTATTGAGTGAGTTTGCAACCATTTTGGTCACGTCTGTCCCCATTTAGATATTGTAAATGGGAAAGAAAAGGGTGTACATTTCTTTTAGTGTGTCAACTGTCATCAATTTGATAGCAATGATTGCTCACAAGAGGCCATTCTCCCAATTGCTTCACTTACTGAATTGAAGGGTTGTTCCCTTAATTTTAGAGGGAAACCAAATCTACTCTCATCTCTGCCCCTTTAGTCTATTTTCGTCTCCCCAGTTATATATAGTTTGATCTTGTCTACTTGCTCCCTGAACAATGTTTGTAAGCCCTTCATTTTAGAGAACACTTGGTTTGTCCCAAATGAATGGCTAAAATGGAGAAAAGGATGTACTCGTTGATGTTATTATTATTGAAATAGCTTCTTGTGTATCTGTTTGAATCAGCATTTCCTCCTCTTCTTATGAATCGCATTTATCGCGTGCCCTTTCTCAGTGACCTGTTTTAATCTCGTTGGAAACCCATTTGTACTTCGAATATTGCACATACTAGTCCGCCTGATGGTGTTTATACTGTAATTAATATCATTTTTAAGCTAATGTTTTATTCAACTGCCATCTGTAATATAACGTGTTTGGATTCATTTCATTGATATCGTCTTGATCAGACTGTAAACGCAAATACTTCGAACATGCTTATCAAGCAAAAGTTTCAGTGCCATCTCCACAAGATACTAACTCCAGAAAACGATCGGATCAAAGTTAATGAATCCATGACACTTTTGTTTGCCACAAGATCATTTCATCAAATTTCAACCTTTATAGAGCTTATACTGTTTATAAGACGTGGACACGAAACTTCCGTATGACTGATTCTTATAGCATTGTATGTGTAATACACAGAAATGTTTCTTTGCACCCATGAACAACAGAACAGATCTCCCCTTTCTAAAATGCATTATCTAGAAAATAATTACAATCATCCACCAGAAACGCGCTCAGAAAGACACATTATGAATAAGACTCAATTAGTTATGCAAAAGCTCAAAATGGGGTACCACTTCCACTTCTAGTTTCTGCGGGGCTGTATAAAGCAGACCTGTTTCTTGGTCTGTTCTCCTCCAACTGCCTCACAATTTCATCCATGCTGGGTCTAACTGAAGCCACAGGGGCACAACAACCCATTGCTAGCTTCAAAGCCTGAATCAACCCTTCTTCCATCGGACTTCTTATCCCTCTCAAAATCTCCACATCAAACACCTCCATTGTTGTCTCCTCCAAAACTGCCACTTTCACCATAGAAGGCAAATCTACGAACTCACTTCCTCTCCCACTTTTTCCAGGTTTCTTCCCGATCAAAATCTCCAACAGCAATATTCCAAATGCATAAACATCAGTTCTTGAATTACATTTATTCATCCTTTGAAGCTCCGGAGCCTTATAACCCTCAGACTTGGCAAGTGCCACCATTTCATCTGCTACTGCTGGAACCAACAGCTTATCAAGCCCAAACTCAGTGAGCCTGGCCACGAAGAAATCGTCCACAACAATGTTCTTTGATCTGACACTTCCATGTGTAATTGGAGAATCAAGTCCTGTGTGAAGATATGCAAGCCCTCTAGCTACTCCCAATGCAATCTTGTGTCGCCTAGCCCAGTTCATCACTGGTTTTCCTACTTTGATTTCTGCCGAAAACCAAAATTGAAAGAGAGGGATCAATTGCAAGCTATATGAAGCCTTCAAATCAGATTCCCTTGATATCAAAAGTCCAAACAAATAAAGTATAAAATGAAAAGACATTCATTAGAGATTAGTTCTTGCTACTACCTTCCACTTCAGACGTAACAGAGACTGCCAATAAGCCTCATACAATGCCATGATTGCAAATGAAAAAGGGGCAGCAATTATTTTTTATGCAGTAATAAATTTTTCAAGATTGTCAGACACTTGTCAATATTTTAGGACCATGATTTAAAACTTTCAGCTGCATTAGGTCGAGTGTTTTTCTCTGTTCCCATGGCATTTTGCAAGTCCTTGGTGTCTCAAATGTGATTGTTTTGAATCATTCTTCTTCCATAGAACGAAGATCAAGAATGAAATGCATAGGCATTTGCCCATGTAATGGACATGGCCATTCAACTATTTGAAAAAAGTAGCCAACTGAAGTACACATCATTAGAGTTCACGCACCCAAACTAAAGGACCAATCTGGAAATTTCCATTTTCATCATTTGCTCAAGTGCATGTTGAGCTAGAAGGCTTCTCAATAGTCCAAGATAAAGTTTCTCATTACTAACTTTATTGATGCAACCAAACCTGGTTCAAGATTTATTGTGGAATCTTGGTGTCAAATGAGCCTCATGAATATTATTGCTCCATAACAGTATTCATTAGTGTATTGTCCTAATCTCATGTCTCTAGAAGAGATCCTCTCCATAGAAGTTCAAATATACCTATGATAGCTTAAAAACATGCGACCAAAGTTAGCATGACCTTTTTCGCGAACAATTTACAATCGAAGTTATTCCCGTAGTGCCTCAGTTGAAGAAGAAATCTAGTTCTGGGATAAATGAAAAGACTATTCCCTTATATATGTTTTGAGCACGAAGGATTAAAATTCTAATAAGCAGTGAGACACTTGAAACAATTGGTTCACCTCGAGTTTTTGATGAATGTGAAATGGCCATGCAAGGAGTTACATTTAAAACACACACAAACAAGAAGGGAAGGATCCTATAATTACCATGGAGAAGATCATGCAGGGTCCGAAGAGGCAGATAATCAGAAATAAGGAGCTTCTCCCCTCTTTTCCTTGATAGAAAGCTCTCAAAGGAATCAAATTCTCGTGGCGAATTTTTCCCAGTTGCTTTATAACGGGCAAGCTTGAAGCCGTGTCCCTGCAGCAACCTTCTCTCAATAACCTCAATGCAATGGTCCCTCCATCAGCAAGCTTTGCCTTGTACACGGTCCCATAATATGTCTTCTCCATAACTTGCCCATTTGCATTCAACACATCGTCTAACGTCAAATTCTCGCCACCCTGAAATAACATAAGCTTGCTCTCACTGCTACCACCATCACCATTACTATTATCACCATTCTCCTCGTCCTCTTCCTCCTCCAATTCATCGTCACTCTCTCCCCTGCCCTTCCTCCTCTTGTTTTGCACATACCCAATCAGCAAAGAAACTAAAACAACACTTCCTGCCATCAGACTGATAACTATACCGGCGATAGCACCAGCACTTAGTCTAGAACTAGAATTTCCACCACAACCTCTCAAGGGTGGCCCACATAAGTCTGGGTTATTCCCTTCAAAAATATCCACACCAAACTTGGGTTCCACAAAAGTTGGCAAAACCCCACTGAAATTGTTGTGGGAAAGGTTCAATTTCTCGAGCCTTAGCCCATCTAAGCTCTGAGGAATCGAGCCTACAAACATATTACTACCCAAGTCAAGCTGTTTCAACCCACCAAAACGAGTAACGAAGTCTGGGAAATTCCCAGAAAAGTTGTTGTTGCCAAAATCAAGAAATCGCAAATTCTCGCAAGAACAATTTGGCAATGCTGGTTCTGGAATAGACCCAGAGAGCAAATTTCCATGGAGTCTGAGAGAAACAAGCCCATCGCACAGATTCCAGATGGACGGAGGCAAAGCTCCACTCAGAAAATTTTCACGCAAATCGATGTCGGAGAGGGAGGAACTATAGCCGAGTTCAAGAGGAATTGTTCCAGTCAAGGAATTGAAGTTGAGGTAGAGGCTCTGAAGCATAGGGAACTCAGAAAGCTCCCGGGGGATGGAACCAGAGAGATTAGCAGAAGGAAGTTGAAGAGAGAGCAAATGAAGATGAGGGTCTTTGAAGAGTGAAAGATTGGTCCAATGAGGAGAAGAGACGGAGCAGGAGAGAGAAGAGGCATTGGAGAAGACCCACTTGAGACCCCTCCATTGGCAAAGAGGTACAGAGGAGTTCCAAGAAGACAAAATGATATCCTGGGTGTTTCCCTGTAAGGATGCTTTGATTTGCCCCAAGAGAAGTTCAACGTCAGAGGAGGCAGAAGGAGAGGGAGAGACTGTGTAGCAGAAGAAGACGAAGGAGATGAGAGCATGGAGGGAGAAAATCTTGATGAAGGCCATGAGTGAATGAAAGTGGGAGTGGGAAGAGATATGAATTATGAAGGGAGGGAAAGTTGGTGGTGGGGGCGTGTTGTGTTCCATTCAAAGAAAGGGGCTCAATGTTGATTATAATACTGGGAAAGCTGACACACCGTTTGACTATAAGCAAGGCTCATTCGGAGACTGCATGATAACTCTGTCGCCTCAACTCACTGAACTCACTCAATGCTTATGATTACTTGTTATTATGACGGAATATCTTTAGGTTCTGAGATGACAAGATTCTGTTTCAGCTAAGTTCGGACTTTTTTCCCCATATGATGTTCAAGCTGGTTTCTTTATTTCTTGCAGTATTGTTTAGTTTTGATTATATTTAAACTCTTTATATTTTAAAATTTTAAAAAATAGAGGATAAAAATTAATATTAAATTACAAAGAGATGAATCTGAATGAAATAGTATATAGTAACATTATCAGAAATTCTTTCGTTATATTTTAATTTCCATGTTTTTTTTGTTGGTTTAATAAAATTTAGAATATTTGGAAGTTGTGGAAAACAAATCCTGATGGCACGCTTAGGTTGTTGATGATTTGAATATTGAGGATAAGAACGCATGCGTTCGTGTGCGTGGTTAGCCCTTGAACGGACTATAAGATGAGTTGGCTAATTCAAGTTTCAATATGGATCTGCTTCCTTCTGTATGTGTGTATCAGTTCGATCGCATCTATCATTAGACCTATCATTTTTATATATCAACTTGTATTAATAATTTATACTAACCAGTTGACTATTTTGAATAAATTAAAAAAATTAGTTAAGTAAGTTATTTGTAATAAATATGTATTGTTTTCTTTTTAAATATCTTTACTAATAATTTGTACTGGTTAGAACTATCATTATTGAAAAGACTATATTAAGAAAAATAGATAAATATAAAAGACAAAGTGTATTAAGATCTTATATCTGAGATTAAAATAAAAGTTAAACGAGTTCTTATATTAAGATTATATATTCAAGCACCTTTGAAAGAATTTTGTGTCGTGATATTTTGAATATATTACCAGAT